ATATATACAATAAATAACCTTTTATATATATATATATATATATATATATGAAAAAGGTTATTTATTGTATATATTATAATTATATTTATGATATACATTTTATATTTCAAGATTTTATATACCATAGTTAAAAAAATCGTAGTAATTTAATAGAATGTAATAGTATGTAAAATATATCGCAGTATATTAAAACTATTGAAAAAGAGTAAACTGTACAGAATTTTATGTTTCAATTCATTGTCAGTCAAGTCGGGCCAAGAGGGTAGAGTCAGAGTGGATATATGTTGAATAGATTGTGTTAACGCTGCATGTGTATTTGGCCATTTCAAATGATGGCGCCTTTGTTTTGTTATATGTTTTTGGCTAGACCATATGTATTTAGGATTCTTATTTTAGTTCCGAAAGAGACCATGGTGTGGCTCTCTCTCTCTCTGCGTCTTATTGACTTTACTTTGACCTTTTCATGGTCTTTTCGGCATCGTCATATTCTTCTGTACTGAAGCAAATAAAAGTCAGTATTTTCAAAGAAAATCATTTTTCCTTTCATTTATCAACGTTCACACATAGTTCACCAAAAAGCAATCCGCGTTCACTTACGCTAAGCACAAGCAATCATCGCAAACATTGGTCCTTCGAGCCGGATGCACGTTTTTTCCGGCATCCCTTACAGACATCGAGTACATACAGGTTATCAAAAAACAAGACAATTTTCTTTATCAAACAATACCACAGGGTAAGCAGCCTACACATAGGCCTGAATAATTTTTTGAAAATTCTTCAGTATAACAACACCACAAGGTATGAAATCTACAGTCTTTTATTAGCATATAACATCTTTGTCTCTTTCTCTGTTCAATCGCCATATTACTTTTACGCCACAAGGTCCGTTATAACAAGCATATTTTACAAAACAATTTTTGATACATTGTTGCACAAGAAGCATGGAGTCGATATCATTATCAGAAGCTAAAACCAAACGAAAGACCATTAAATCATCGCTAACTCGTCACAAGAACGCACTAGAGAATTTTGATGTAACACAAGATTCACGACATGACATCACTGAACGCAAAAAGAAATTATCTGATTTATGGGATCTATTTGACAATGTACAATCACGAATAGAATTACTTGAAAACCAAGAGCCATCTACTTCAAACAACGATGAGCTTCTCATTCAACAAGAACAGCATAGAACAAATTTTGAGTCTACATATTTCAATTTAATGTCACGCTGTGAATCTTTTCTTGAATATTTCAGTCAGCTTGATGCTCAAGCGTCAAGAATCCATGAAAATGTTGTACGTGGTCCTACACCTAGGGAATCACGAGTTAGATTGCCTAAAATTGAGCGTCCAGTGTTTTCAGGTTCCTATGATAATTGGTATTCCTATCAAAATGTATTTGAAAAATTGATACATGACAATGAGAGTTTAACAGACATTGAAAAATTTCACTATTTGAGATCATCTCTCAAGGACAAGACAGCTGAAATTATAAAATCAATTGAAACCACGACTGATAATTATAACGATGCTTGGGCAGCTATCAAGGAACGTTTTGATAACAAACGTTGGATAATACACAAACACATCAGAGCCATCTTTGCCGTTCCAACGCTGTCCAAGGAAAATCATGGTCTTTTACGTGAGCTATTGGACACTATTTTAAAACACTTGCGTGCTCTCAAGGCTTTAAAAAAACCTACAGATGCGTGGGATGACTTGATCATTCACATCATTGTCTCAAAACTTGATCCAACAACGGGTAAAGCGTGAGAAACTAGCATTCCTGATAAGGACATTCCAGACTTAAAATCATTGATCAACTTTTTTTCTAAACGATGTCAAGCACTTGAAACAATCGCTGGCAAACAGTCAATCAATCAATCCAACAACTCTTCGAAATTCTCGTACAAATCAAAGAGCACTTCGGTTGCAAATCTTTCCACATCCAACTTAGCTTGCGCACAATGTAAAGAAAATCATCCTTTATATTTTTGTGAAGCTTTTCTCAAATTGCCAATAGAGAAAAGAATTTCTTTTGTCAAAAGAGCTCACTTGTGCATTAATTGTTTAAGATCAAGTTCACATACTGCTAAAGATTGCAATTCAAGTGTTTGTCGCAAATGCAACAAAAAACATAATACATTGTTGCATTTATCAAATTCAGTAGACAAAATTAAAACGGCTAATTCTGACGAATCATCCTCTTCTACAAAAGAAGCACAATCAATTGTCACTCAATGTACATCGACTCATCGTTCTTTGGGCGTCGTACTTTCAACAGCTATTGTACACGTATTTGATTCAAACAATCAAATTCATTCTTGCCGCGTACTATTAGACAGTGGATCTCAATCAAATTTCATAACACAAGAATTTGCAGACAAATTACAGCTTAAAGAACGATCAATCAATATTTCTATTTCTGGTGTAGTTCAGGGAATCATTCAAGCCAAAACAACCCAGATAGCCAAATGCAATGAGTTTGCTGTCATGTTGCCGACAACCGTTGAAGCAACTGATTTCTAAAAACTCGGGACAAGGTGCTTCTACATTATGTGTGAAATGTTGCCCTCATGTGAACTCGTATTCAGATGTCGGCAAGTTGACGGCATCAGTTTACAACCCGCGCTCATGTATTTCTGATAGAATCTTGAGAGCATTTTGTCATCACGGTATGCCATCTGCGATGAACAACATTTTGACGGCAACATGACAGCAACATGAGAACAACTTGTCGTCACGGTGTGATATTTGTGATAAACAGCATGTTGACAGCAACATGATGGCAACGTTCGCAAAAATATGAATGCCGTATATTTGATAACAACATGACAACATCATATTACACCATGCGTGGTTACCTTATAAAATTATTTCCCTTCTTTCTTTGTTACATATTGAAAACGTGCGTGAATTTGTGCAGATTCAAAAACCGTACTCAGTACATCTGAAATAAGATTTTATTATTTCCAATATACTGAATACGGTACTTGAACTAATTCACACACGTTTTCAATATGTAACAGAGAAAGAAGGGAAATAATTTCAGGTAACCATCGCATATATAAATATGTATATAATGAAAAGAGACATTTCATATTACATTGAAACATATGCAATATATATTTTACTTATTATTCAGACCTTTCATTGCATTAAAAATAAAATTAAAATTTTTATCGCAAAATGTAATTATGTATATTTATTGTTTTACAATTTTGTTATATTTCATTAAAATAATGTTATATTTCATTAAAAATAAACTTTTATTATAAACTTTCATTATAAAATGACATGTTATATAAATATATAAACTGTAACTAAAAACTAAACGACGGACAAAGTTTCGTCGTTTTCACGATCATTTTCTTCGCCTCTTCTTATTTGAAGAAGGTCATCGGCGTCCTGACGCATTTTTTCTCGACGACCTATGTTTTCAACGTTTTGTGCCGCTCGCCTGGTCGCATTGCGAATTCTTTGTTTGCCAAAGCGCACAGCTTCTCCTATTTTTCGAAAAAATTCGTTGCGCATCGGTGGCGGAAAATTTCCATTTGTGGCAACTGCATCTGCAAGAAGAAATGACATCAAATTTTATTTCATGTATCTTATACCTGCATGTATAAAGTTATATTTTTAAGTTACATTTTTTGAAAATTGCATTTTCAATAATTTTTTGTTTTTTAATATTGATTTGCGGACACGAAAATAATGTAAGGTACTGAAAATGTGCGAAAAATTAACGAAATTTGAAATAAACCTTTATATGTGTAAATAATGAAAATGCACAATTGGTTAGTTATGTAACGAGAAACAAAAAGGTCATAAACGATATTTTCTATAAATTGTAAGCGATTATCGCCGCTTTCCCAACATTTCGTGAGTTAACTGTTTTTTATTGAACGAATTTCAAGAGCGGACCGGATAAAATTATTAATTTAATATTATTATTATATTATTATTATTATTTAATTTTTTCTTTTATTCGAAAATAATAGGAGTATTAAAATTTTGAACGCGTTTTTCTCAAAACGTCATTTTTTTAACTGGCGCAGTAAAGCAAAAAATGTTCTGCCAATCGATGTAAAATTTTCATTCGCAATTGTACATATAAGTGGCTATCGGCCACAACATAATCGTATTTTTCAATAAAAATTTCGAAGGCGCTAATCGCCAAGCAACTTACCATATATTGCTTTAATTACTTTAGTACTCCACAATGGAAAATTTCCGCGCTCTCCCCACGCAGAAAAGCGGCATATGGTCTCGTCCGCTAACGCCTCTTTGAGGCAGTATTTCACGGCGTCATGAAGGGTAAAACCCCCCAGAAATTTGAGATATTCAACCTGCAATAACACAGTATACATTTGTAACGCATTTAATTTATTGCAAAGAGAATGAATTTGCTTTTACTAATATTTGCATTAATGCACTGTCTATGCAGATAAGATTTTATTGAAAATATTATAAAAGAAAAAACACATTATATGATACGTAAAACGCTAACTGTCAAATGACATTTATTTACAAATATCTGTAAGATATGAAACTAGCAGCAGATTTGTAGTAGATTTCATGCAAAGAAAT